CGGGTAACCCATACTCTTCGGATGCAGACCCAGGATCGCTTTTGATTTATGCAGAGGCCGCTTTTTAATCTAACAGAGCTAGTATTGTAATCCCGCTTTAACTAGGCCTGATGAATTCGGCAGACCCCAGCCCCACCGCACCTCCCCGTGCCCCCATCTTTCCTTCAATCTCAGTCTGCTCCTGCGAGCTGTGCGTCTGTGTTTTAATCCAGGCTCCCTCAGAGCAGCTTCCTGCCTGAAAACAAAGCACCTAAAATTTTTGCAATCTCAAGTGTTAATTCTCTTTCGACTACTCTACCTAGCAAAGTTCTACAAACAGTAGCTCCACCCCTTCGCCCCCAGAGTGACCTAAAATTGCCCTCTGCAGACTGCGGAAGTTGTCAGCGACTGCCTTCCAGCCAAATTCGAGTACAAGTTGATGACATGTTTTTATCTCTGGGAATTTGACACATAGGTGTAAATGAAAGGCTATAAAAAATTCCTTCATAAGAGTACATTGTGCTCTATCAGAATTGTAGATATCATATAGTAGATTTAGACTCTTGGCTCAGCGGGATACAGGAAAAAATGAGAAAAGTGGAATTATGAGAGTAAGGGAAAGAAAATGTCAAGATGCAAGGCATTGTTAAAGATAATTGTGTAGTACTGTGGTGCCCTGTAAGCCAGGTGAGTGCACTTGCTCCTTTAATCCTGGCAGAGGTGTGTTCTGTAGTAGTCCTTGCTTAAATGGTTTGAAAACAATCTCAAAATGTCTGTTTTTGGAAGAGGCTGCTAGCTAGTTGAGCTATCAGTGGATTCCTAGTAAGTAGAAGACTGCAGTGGATTGAAGAAATGTAGAGTAAAGCATGGAAGACTGAGGAAAAAAAAATTTTAGTATGTGTAATTTTTATTGGTACACTTTAGATATACATAATGATAATATAGGGAATTTGTACCTGAACACATCTCTTCCTTTTTTCCCCATCCTCCTCCCCTCCAGCCTCTCTTCCCTGCTTAGTTACAAAAGCATTATTTCCATTTATTTTTTCCTTCTGTTCTTTTTCTTGTCCTTTCTTTTTCCCCTCCCCACCCCACTGGAAATCTTGCCATTTCCAAATGCCTGTTCTGTATTTTGTTCCTTATGGTAAGTGCAGCCTGTTCAGCTGTTTTCCATACAGTAAGTGAAGTGTTGTATGTGTGGAAAAACTTCTATTTAAACTCCAGGTCTTCCGCCTCTCAACTCTGTCACTTTCAAGTGAGTCATTCAACTTTATTGTTTTCTTTTTCTTTCCTTTTTTACTAAAAATACCTTAATCCATCAGCCTAGGAATGGTTTTTAGGATCAAAAATCATGATTGTAAAGCACTTACTACAATGCCTGGCAAATGGTGGGTGTTGAATAAATGGCAAGAGTTATTTTTATATTACAGATTTCTATTAAAGTGTGGAATCTTAATTTAACATGATTATATTGTTTCCTATAGGATTTTTTTAATGACCTTTTTCATGGATGAGAGGCTCCTAGGCTGAAGTATTTTTCTCACTTTGATTTTATTTTTTAAATCACTTTGATTCTATAAAACATTATTTCTTTTAGGAACCCCCCTTTAGATGACTAGACTTAACCTAAAGCACTAGAGAGAAATTAGAGTTCAGCTCCTTTATCCTTCCCAAAACTATTTTAGAATAAAACATGTTTAAATTAGATTTGACTGATACATTTTATATATACATAACAATCATATAACAAAACATTTTTAAGATATTTCACAACCAAAATCTTTTCAGACCTGTTATAAAACAGTTTCTTAAATCAGTATACTATTACTATTTTAATTCAAATGTTTGCACCTTTAATATTTTAAACTACATAAAGACATGCTACATATTCCTATTGTTCTCTACAAGTAAATTGATTTTTGTCTCACCTTTTTTAGTTTTCACTCTCGTAGCTTACTGTTACTCGAATCAGTGAGGGCTAAGGGGCTGCTGGATGATCTATACGATGAACAGTATTCTGTACTATTCTTTTTTTTTTTTTTTTTTTTTTGCGATACTGGAGAATCAAACTCAGGACCTTGTGCATGCCAGGCAGGCACTTAAAGCTGCTGAGCTGCATCTCTGGCCTGATGGACAGTATTTTGATCTCACATGTTTAGTACACTTACAATCAAGCAGCAATTTGTATGTTTTGCAGCCGAGCTGCTCTGTTTCCCAGTGGATCAAGCCTTCAAGAAGCTGCCAGCGCATACTTTAGATGTAGTCAATCTCAGAATGTATTGCTATTTTACTGCTGTTGATAAGCCTAGTACACTCAAATATTGTAATTTTGCAAAGCTGCGTTAACTAAAGTCTTGACAAAGCACGACCCCAGCAGAAAAGCCTAAGTGCTATAGTCAGCTTAGCATCATGGCTTTCTTGTGTCAGTTGTTGGAACGTTGAAGAGACATTTTACAAAATCCAGCTGCAAGATCCCAGATAGAACAATCATTGGGCTCTGGGCTATCAACCACCACTTCACATAGTTATAGTTTGATTGAAGAAGATCTGCCATCTTCCTCATCCGGGCAAAGTTTTAGAATCGCCACATGTAAAAGACATTACTCTGCACCTTTCGTATACGCTCCTCAATTGCATCTAGGGTATCCTTTAGCTGCTTGCTTTTCTGTTTGTGGTCTGACTCAGACCCCTCATATACTCCGAAGTTGAGGTAGACTTGTATGAAACCAAAGTGATTTTTCTTTTTTGTTTTAAATAGACAAAGTTGATAGTAACCTGGCTCTTAGGTAGAGAAGTTAATCTGGTGCCGAACATCCTGGGAGGTTTCTCTGAGGAAACCCTGTGGGGAGTGTGCTGTGGCAGCAACGTGCTGGCCGTGTGACATCCCCAGTATCAGACTGATGAAATTTAGGAAGATTATGGGTATACAGACTAAAGGAAATGTTCATTAAAGTCTAAATTCTATCTGGACCTGTTTAAATGCTAATAGAAGGACCCAGAGGGCACAAGTTGAAATAGAGAAGAGCGATCACTAATGTATCACTTGGATCACAGGCGGAGGAATGAGCTAAAGGAAAGGGGGAGACGCCCTCCTGTTTCAGGAAAGAAAAAGACCAGCCCCTGTGCGGTAAATCTGTAGATTTCTGGGTAGGAAGCTGAGGGTGTGTTCCATGCCTCACTTTTTCTCACCATACTTTGTAGGCCTTGGAGAAATTTCAGTGTTTCTTTGTTTCCTAAGATTTGCTCCCTTAAAATTTTTTTTAGAACCTGATTCTGTCAGATTTATCTGTATAACCTAGAATGTTTCTGCAATGTAGTTTAAAAATAACCCTAAAATTGCTAATAGCTCACCAGTATCTGTAGGAAGTGGGCTTTTCTTGTTTTTGAGAGATTTTACTTTTTAAAAAAATGTGTTTAGTATGGGGTCTCTAGGGTCTCACTACATAGATCAGACTCATACTGATCCTCCCGTTTTCAGCCTCCCAAACGCTGGGATTACAGGTGCATGCCACCATGCCCAGTCTTTACTTTCTATATGAGTTAAATTGTCCCTTATGGGAGAGAAGGGAGATATCTCAGAACAAGTACCTGCCTCGCAAGCACAAGGTCCTGAGTTGAATCCCCAGAACCACACACACAAAAAAACCTAGTCTAAATTGGCCCTTATGTGCATTTTAATTTCTACGATCTATTTTTTCCAATGCCATTAGCAAGAATAGGGGGACATGTTCTGAGAAACTAGAAAGGGATTAGATAAAGATTTAAACTGACTTCCTAGGCCTGTTCAGGCAAATTGCTAAAGGGAAGATCTTGAAGGTGCTGGGAAGAGTTGAGTGATTTAAGTGAAAGCGGTTTAGGTGATTAGCTTCCTCAAACTAAAGTCAGCCAGCTGTGGTGGCACACAGCTGCCCGACACTCAGGATGCTAAGGCAGATCACAGGACTGCGAGGCCATCCTGAACTACATGAGACTGTGTCAAAATGAAATGAGCCAAAAAGTCAGTGTGAGCCTTCAGACAACTTGATAGGTGATGAGAAAATGAGGGCTCATTTAGGATTTGATGGTGTTTTCAGAGCACTCAGTGAGAGAGCATGAGACTGCTCAACTAATTGGAAGAGAGTAGTAGGAAATGGGGGACAGGAGTTTAAGGCTATTTGAGAGTTGAAGTAGTCGTTATGGAAAAGCCCGAGTTAACGTCAGAGATGCTGGAGTGCAGGAAGGTAAGGGTGTTTCAGATGAACTTTAGGAATGAACTTGCTCAGAACAGCCTGTGTTGAGGAGTAAAGGCAGAGGGAGCTTTTGCTAGCAACGGAGACCCTCAGTGACTATGTGTGGATTTGTGACCAGAAATGACATTCTAAGAGATGGTGGCATATTACAGTTGCACATGTTTGAAGAGTAATACTGTGTTGGCACAGGTGCGCTATCAATGTTACAGGTTAGAATACACAGGTAAGGCAGACGTGATGGAGAGAGTAATCAGTACTTAGTAAAGAGCCGTTATGCCAGGTGATGTGAGTTTGAGCCATATTCTAGTTCTCTGAAGTTGGCTTTGGTACCGTCTCTTTAGAGATTACACTGATTTTTTTTTTTCAGAGAAATGAATTTTTGGTTAAATTGTTATAGCTCCTAAGTGGTAGGATGGAGAATAAATCCTGGGAGGATGGAAGAAACAAAATATAGTGGTCAATATTAGAATTATTTTATGGTAGAAAATGTATTAGAGAAGACAATAGGTCAGTTACAAACCTAATATGGGCTTTAATACATCATTGATCCTTTTTTTTTCTTTTTGTCTTTGTGAGGTTCTTGCTATGCAGTTCAGGCTGGCCTCAAACTTGCAGTGATTCTCCTGCCTCAGCTTCCCAAGTGCTAGCATTACAGGAATGTGACACCACACCTGGCTTAATCTGTTTCTGCAGAGATTGTGTTTTCTAATTGTACTTTTCACAGGTCCTATTTGTTTAACTTTAAAATACTGTTTTTCCTCATTAGTGCCTGAATCCTGATCCATGGACAAGATGGCAGATTCATTCTTTTCTAATTTTGGAGTGCTACTGTTGGAGGAATTAGACAATGAAGACTTAAATAAATTCAAGTTACTTTTAAAGGAGACCACGGAAACTGGACACTGCCTGATGTCCTGGGCTGCAGTGAAGGCAGCCAGCCGAAAGCAGCTTGCTAACCTGATAAACGAGCACTATCCTGGAAAACAGGGCTGGAATATGATTCTCGGACTCTTTGACAAGCTCAACCTGAAGGATCTGTATGAGAGAGCAAAAACGGAGACCAACTGTGAGTGATGCCAGGCCAGATATGGGAGGAAGGAGGGAAGTACTTCCTAGAGCTCACTGGAGTGATTCTGTAAGACATTTAGGGATTAAGTGATTCTGAAGGATATACGTGTGATTATCCATTTGGGTATCACACGTGGCAAGCTTGTTGGGTCACTGGAGAAGCTTGGGAAAAAGTTTTGGGTACAGTTTTTCAGCCTGGCTCCAAATGATCCTGTGTGTCTTTGCCTAAATCACAGTTGTAGGTTACTCTATGACTAAATCATATTTGATATTCTAAAATGAGTAATGGACTAAAATTTACTGAACCACAAAACCAAGTTCAATATTTTTAGTTACCCCTGAAGTGCAATATTAGTCATTTAAAATTCCTTCTTGATATACAACATTTTAGAGCTACAAGTGTGCATCTAGTGTCTCCTCTGAGGCTTACCATGTCTCCCTGACAGGGAAGGAAACAGATCTCTTTTGCAGGGAGGGGATGACAAGAGGTCTCCTCCTCAGTGTTATTGGTACCATATCACATCGAATCCAAAACTAAGCTGATGGAGCTTGAGACTTGGTGGTCGTCAGGGAACTGAACCCCTGAGGAGAATGCTTGTGCCTCTTGCAGTCACCAGAGTTTGTTGTACTCTACAAATCTCATTTGCTGTTCTAACCTGTTGCAGGGTCAGAGGCCACATTACCAGAGATGGATGAGGCTGAGGAGAGACAGATGGAGCTGAGTGAGTAGATAAGTTCCCACACCCCTGACATTTGATCTTTTCAAATATGACTGGAGGTTTAACTCTCAAAGGGTCATTGTTCAACACTTGGTAACTTCGGACACATTGCCTGCTCCCTGGATATCATTCAGAAAGAGTCAACAAAATTAGCTTTCTGGCAAGGTCAAGGGTATGTTGAGTCAGGGCACCAAGAGTGTAGTATTTGAAAATGCCCAGTCAAAAGTTGACAGTCTAATAAGCAAGATATATTCATGTTTGTGTGTTTTATGGACTATAACTGAGTTGTCATAGACCGTAAGACTTATTGCATCTGTTACCTTTCTTTAAAGATGGTGCTGTTACTGAGCTCCAGGCTTGGTGACTAGTACACATAAAGCGTAATTTCTAGAATTGGGTGCACTCAGGCCTAGTTCAACTCCAATTCCATTTCCCTCTTTTGTTGTTGTTGCTATCATTAACGGGGATCAAACTTGGGATGCTGTGCTTGCCAGGCAGGCGCTTGTGCTACTGAGCTATATCCTGGGCTCTCCCTCATTTTGTTTTGAATTCTATAGTTGAGGTCTAGTTTCTGTGAATTAATGTAGAAAAACAAACAGGTGATGAAACTTTAGAAAGCAGTTTTTCTGGGTTAAAAATAGTCACATTTCATTAAAGAAATAAAGGACAACTACTTTGGCAACAATAATAAATACAAATAGCTTATTTTAATACATGTCTATAATGTTAACCCCTTACAGTGACCTTAGTTTTTGATCTACAATTTTTTTCTTGTGGTATAAGAAACTAAAAGCTGTCTTCATTTTAATTTATTTTTTAATATATTTTATTGAGAAAGAGGTAGCTGTGAGACAGTTTTAAAACAGTTATAATACATCGTATATTGTCTTTCTAGTAGTTATTCGTAATACAAGATGCAGACATGATCTTGTCTAAACACTATTAGTTCAGAACTTCTTATAAAATTGTTAACATAAATATACAGCTACTTCCATTTTCACTTAAAGCCTAACGGTTATTGTAATATGGGCAGATATATACATACAGGTAAAATAGTAGACTCTTTGGAAACTACACAGTGAAAATAAGAACAGCAATGACTGATGCTTCAGAGTGTACCAACACAACACTAAATTATAATATAAGGAATTTTTACCTGGATAATCATGGTTTTTGTTTTAACAAGTTTTGGCTATGTGTCCACATATTTTTTTAACTTAACATAAGCAAAACATGCATATTTTAACACATTCCCACCAGCTTGAACCATCAGTGGTATATGCACCAGAGGTACAAGCCGATCTAATCATTTTCACTAGTCTTTTTACTAATAAAATTAATAAGGGGCCCAATGGAGAACAGTCATGAGTGTAGCTCAGGAGGTTCAAGCCACCCACCAGCAAGACATATGAATTACAGGCCTGTTAATGTACTAAAAATTTTAATTTTTTGTTTTTTGTCCTTTAGGGAAGGGTCTACACGGTGTTCAGGGTCCCACTACTAGATCAGACTCATAGTGATCCGCTGTTTACGGCCTTCCAAGAGCAGGGATTATAGGCGTGCCAGCACACTGAGTCTCAATCGCCCTCTCAACGAGGGCTCGAACCCTCGGCCCCTGCGCCTGCTTGCAGGCACTTTAGTCTGCTGAGCTATTTGCCCAGCCCTTCGTATTCAAAAATTTAAATGTCACAGAAGTACATAAAACAAATTTCTCATGCTCTCCACCTCCTTCCCCAATCTTGCTATTTAGAAATATGCACCAGTATTAAAATTTTTGTGCACAACCTTTGTTAGATTTGTAGTTACAAAGTTCAATTTTTGCAGGATAGGATTACACATTTTTTGGAAACTTGCTTTCTTGTTCAGCTTTGACTTTTTGCATATTTGCATTTACTTGTACTTTCTTCAAAAGTTTCCACTTGTGCTGTGCTAGTGCAGTCTTTCAACTTTTTAATTCAACAAATCTATTTGACACTTGTGTGCAAGGAAATGTTAGATTCTGGGTGTATGAACTGTTAATGTAGCCTCTACCCAAGCCCAGCTTTTCTTTAAAACAAAAGCTTGTAAAATTTACTGTGAATGAAAAATCCACTGAGTTTTGAGAATATATGAAAGGAACCATTTTGGAAAAGTGTCATTTAAATGAAAAGTTAGAAGAAAAATCAGATTTAGGGAATACTAAAACACTTCTTATCCTATTTGGATATTTGAGAATTTCAAAAACTTTTTGCTTCATTTATTACTGATTCGTTAATTTTCATTTCTGTTTTTATGTATTTGGTACAAGGTCTCGCTATGCATCTTGGACTCAAAGTGATCCTCTAGTGTCAGCCTGCCTAGCACTGGGATTACCTGTGTGTGCCAGGTCTTGGTGTCCAACTTGGCATCCCCCTGGGTGGGGCTAGTGCAGCATGTGGTGCCGAGGATTGAACCCCAGTCCCTGAGTTTGCCTAAGCAGGGACTTAGTCCACTGAACTATCTCACCAGCCCTTCATTTCTATTTTACTTTTATGTATTTGGTACAAGGTCTCACTACCCAGCGGCTTGCACTCAGTGATCCTGTTTTCAGCCTCTACAGCTCTGGATTACAAGCTTGGGCCTCATGCTCTGTCTCATTGGCTGGCTTGGCGTGCCCAGGGGTGGGACCGGTGTGGTTTGTGGTGACGGGGATCCTTTTTTATTTTTAAGCTGGATTATTTTCTTTTTTCTTTTTTCAAAATTTTATTGATAAACAGATAGCAATGAGACAGTTTAAAATCAAATCGAAAGTACAGTTTCAACAAATAATACACTGCATATATTCTTCTTAGTGGTTAATTGCTGTACAAGATGCAGACTTGAGAT